GGGTGAGATAGAATAAAGAAAGATAAGTAAAAGAAAAACAAATAAACACTATACTCGTGACATACAACAATGTACAAATACCTAGTACGGTACATGAATGAATGTATATGAAGGTGCATATTAGTGATACATACATCCCTACATATATATACATAAAAATGTTGCAAAAGGTTGCAACTTAAATATTTAGCTAGCTACTTAAATATTAAGCTAGCTACTTAAATATTTAGCTAGCTACTTAAATATTTAGCTAGCTACTTAAATATTTAGCTAGCTACCTAAATATTTAGGTTGCAACTTAAATATTTAGGTTGCAACTTAAATATTTAGGTTGCAACTTAAATATTTAGCTAGCAAGTTAAATATTTAGGTAGCTAACGTCAACATGACATCTCCACTGATGACCTATTTTTAGTCACTTCAACTGATTCTGTAAACTCCACATGTTGTGTTCTTTTCTCTTCAAAGGTAAAAGGCACAAAGATGTCGACAGGCCATCACGAGCACTGTGACAAATGTTACAGTTTCCACTGTCAAGCCCCGATGCAGACCCCGTTCTCATGCATGGTCATCAAGTGTCACAGAAACTGCGGCGCCACCTTCCACATGTGCAAGCATGATGAGCACCGGCTCCTCTGTCCAAATGAGACGGTCCCATGTCTCAATGCTGATTACGGCTGTCCACTCACAATGCTGCGCCACAAGCTGGCCAAACACTTGGTGGTTTGTCCTGCCAGCATTGTCTGCTGCTCTCAGGAGTGGAACCGTTGGCCAGTTCCGGATACCGACAAGGCCTTTTACGCAAATATTTCTGAAAGTCGTCAGTTAGACTCTGAGGCAAGCCTCGACGTTGCTCTGGCTCTGAGGGATCAAGCCTTGCTGTTTCGGTCCATCAAAATGAAAAAGGTTTTTCCAGAGCTGACAGTAGGGGAACCTGCCCCACAGAATCAGTTTGCTGCAGAGGAGGCCTCCTCTTGGGATTGTGGTGAATTTACGGGAAATGCCTGTGTAAAGACAAAGGAAACAGAGCCGAGTCAAGAAGAGAGGAGTGCTTTGGCAAGGAGCTCAGATGTGGCAAACGTTCAGAGTTACAGTCAGTGGGAGAAAATATTTCAGAAGGAGAAGGAGGGATGCAACCAGACTGTCAAAAACCTGAGTACAGAGGGAAAAGGGAAGGGGAAAGAAGAGCAGAGCACAACACACAGTGAGGGGGGGAGTGGGACCCCTCATCGGGGTGAGGAGAGTGCTATCGCTGCCAGGAACATGAATGGTGCAACTGGCCTTGCGCCATGGCAAGACGGGGTGCTTGAAAGGTTAGGCAAAGAATTCAATATTGCAGAATATAACATGTATCTGGTGCATAACGGGGCTATGCTGATAAACTTTGGCCAGCTCGCTGCGTGCACCCCGAGAGAAAAAGATTTTGTTTACGGAAATCTGGAGCCAATCGAGGTTAAAACTGTCCGCACTTTTAATGTTCCTACCAGCTATCGAGCCAAACGCTGCCACCTGAAGGACCCTTCACACAAGGCCAGAACTGAACACAAGAACGTGGACACTGCAGACCTGTCGGCTGAACATCTTCCAAAATCTGAAGAAGTTGGCTCGACGCTATTGTGCTCCATGGAAAAGGAGCTGAAGGGGTCTCTGATCTCAGAGAGCTCCTCCACAGACGGCCTTTATGTCGATGTAGGAACACAAACATACGACTTCTCCTCTGCTCCGTTCAAAGCTGAGGCGACTCTCGCTGACGTCGTCGCCGACAAACCTCGTGGTCTCTACTTGAGCATCGAAGCAGAGTCCGTCACAAGACGACACAACAAAACGAGCTCAGCTTTCAGCTTCATGTGTGGACACTTCTTCCGCCGGGATGAATACCGGTCACATTTCAGGAATGTGCACTGTGACATCCAGGCCTCTGTGAACGGCTGGTTCCAGCAGCGCTGCCCGCTAGCATACCTCGGCTGCACTTTCACTCAGACGAGGTTTCACCCCGAGGGTCAACGAGCTACAATCAAATTCTGTCAAGATGCCAGTGCCTTTAAGCTTCAGCCACACTTCCCTGCGTCCCCGTGTGATGGTGCGAAAAGCTTCACTCCTCAGGGAAGTGCAAGAGATCAGGATGGCCTGAGCAGGCTGCCGCTGGAGATCCTTCAGCTCGTGGCTGGTTACCTTGACAGTTTCACGTTAGCTCAGCTGTCCCAGGTTTCCCGCCTGATGAGGGAGGTGTGTGCTGCGCTGTTGCAGGAAAGAGGGATGGTCTTTCTTGAGTGGAAGAAAAAGACATACAAGCATGGAGGAAGTTCCTGGAAGTGTCGGAAAAAAGCAAGTATCCCTGATAGTTTTATTTCAAGTAGTGTTTTATGGTGATTACACAGTTGTTTTCTATTTTAAATTAATTTGTTCTGAAAATATTGTTCTATTTTAGCTACTCCTTCATCAAATTGTTTAGCTTGTCAGTGTTGTATAAAGTACCACAAAGTGATACTTGAGTGAAAGGACAAGTATCTTATCATAAAATTACTTTGGTAAGATTTAAAGTCTCCTCTAAGAACATTACTTGAGTAAAGTCTTTAAGTATCTGATTTATTTTGTACTTAAGTATCAAAAGTAAATTTCTGACATAAAATGTACTTAAGTATTAAAAGTAAAAATATTAAGTAAAAATGAGAGATTAGATTTTCCAAATACAAATACTGTGATGGGTTGTGCACAAACTAATATGTGTCAGAATGTTATATATTTATACTTCTTCTATCTAACCACAACTAAATTCAAAGGCACAGTTTATTGGGATAGAATTATTTTTTTAACAATAACAAGCCAGAATGAAATAGGAGTAATGACTTTCTGCTTCTTACCTTTTTTTTAAATGCAGGGAGTAGAAAGTATAGATGATTGTGTAAAAATGTAAGGAGTAGAAGTAAAAAGTTGGCTGAAAAAATTTACTCGAGTAAAGTACAGATAGCCAAAATTTCTACTTAAGGACAGTAACACAGTATTTGTACTTAATTACTTTACAACTCTGCAGCTTGTTCAGAATATGGGTGCTATGACTTTTTATGTACAAATACCATAGAAATACATTCAGTTTCTTCACACCCTTTTTTTAATCTTGTTTTATTAGGCTTTAGCCATTCTGCTACTTTCAGCTAACCTTTGACTACATTTAGGTTTTAGCTACTGTTTTTAGCTGACCTTTTGCCATTTTCAACTTCTAGCTATTATTTTGCTACTTTAGCATGCTATTTGTCATTTTAGTTGTTAGCTATCCTTTTGCTGGTTTTATTCACCACTTAGATACAAACTTACTTATTGAGACTTATTGAGTTGCTAAAATGCAACCTTTATCATTTAGCTGAGCTAATGTTCTTTTTGTACATTTATCAGTTTAGTTTTAGTTTTTAGGCAAATTTCTGCAGTCAGTATTTACACTGCAGAAATTATTACAAAATTTTTACTGAAAATTATAGTTTCTGTTCATTTTTATTTTGTCCAAAGCAAATTAAATCTTAACTGTAGGAAGTAAAAGTAAAAACAAGCCCAAAATATTTGTTATCAGTCACCGTTCACGCTGACAGCTGCTGCATTATGACCACTACTCAGCCGTCCTCTAACAATAAAGTCACTTTCAGCAGAGATGGTAACAACTAATGACTTTCCACTAAAGCAGCAACTAAATATTTACTGTTTTTTTTTGTTTTAAAAAAATAAATTTAAAAATAAAATGTATGCAACAAAAGGAAATATGTCTGAAATTTTTCCTTCTAAGCTCTAATCTCCATGTTTTGAGTCTGAAGGTTAAGCTAGCAACTTGCTGATTATGTTTTATCCCAGAAAAGCAACAACAGCCGGTGCAATAAATTTCAAACTTAATCATCCAAATCTGGGTGTGCACTTGAACTAGAATAACCATATTTACATCTTACGTCATTTTTCATTTGTATCTGTTTTTGCACATTTCACAACAGAGAAGCTCAGGAAAGGTCAGGGAGGTGAAATGCAGCAGCAGCTGTTCCACAGTTTGTCTGCTTTATGTTTGACAGGAAAGATCACCTCATGATTCAGGTTTTTATGCCACCAGGGTAGTGTTGTGGATGTGCAGCACTGCCTCAGTTGTATTTCATTGTTGTCCACAGTCATGATCTGCAGAAGGTTTGAATAATTCAGACTCATGGTTACTGAACAACGGTAAAAGATAGTCTGCATTTTATGTTAGCAGCATCTCACAAAATGCATCATGATCTGGAGGATTGTTTGATGCACTGCAGATGTGTGGACACTGTTAATGTTCATCTGTTTTATTAGAACCTTGAGCTGATGACAGAAAAACACAACAGACGCATGTATTTTTGTATTTACTGTCTTGGTGCTGCAGTGGTCACAGGACAGGAAGCATGTGGATGACATCAGTCAAATGGAATGGTCTGAGATTAAAAGCAGTGGTATCCAGTCTGCTGGGTGATCATTCATGGAAACACTGTATGTTGATGTGAGTGTGTGGGCAACAGCTGGGGATTTGCTCTGCAGTGAGAGGCATCATTTGTATAAATTTGCAACAGATGGTACCAAAATAACATTGAGCCCTGACATGTGATTAAAGTACCCTTGATCTACATGCTTCTCGCTGCAGTACTCTGTACTGTGGATACAGCAGGTAAAATAAGTATTGAACACAACATTTTTCTCAGTAAATATATTACTAGAGGTGCTAATGACATGAAATTTTCACCAGATGTTAGTAACAACCCAAGTGATCCATACATACAAAGAAATCAAACCATAAATGTCCAGAAATGAAGTTATTTGTAATAA